AAAAAGCAAAGCCACTGGAACTGCATGTATTACAAAAACATACTGGTACTTCGCTGTGTGTCTGACATTTGTATAAAGTTTTGCAGGTCCTTCTTTTTTTTTTACTTTGAGAAGTGATGTCAACCAAAGCATAAATATGTGTTTCTCTGTACATAAAATTTCACATGATTTGTTAATATTAATGTATGATAATAAAAACTTGATAATATTTTTCTGGATTTTTGCACTTTATTTGTATCATTGTCGTATGAGAATTAATCTTGTTCTTATTAGAGATACAGTTGTATTGAAACTAATCCAGGGCCAAAAACTAGTTTATCCAAAGAGACACAACACTGACTACTTCCTTGTCATTTTACCTGTTGTACTAGTTTGGTGCTATCTGGTTTCCTTGCTGAGAATAATGCTGACCTGGATGGAGAGTGCTATAAACTTGAAAATGCCATAGAAATCACGTTTGCCAATTTGTGTCCATGCGACTTTAGAATGACAACTAGCGAAGGTTATGTCATTCATGACTTGTTTTATATCAATTACTACATGTAAAATGAGTCAAAATAGCAGTTGTAGTATAAAATGGGTAAACACAAGTCACATGACATAAATGTAAATGAATAGAAAATGATTTTCATTGGACCAATCTTTCAGCCCTGTTTTTTAATGGATTAAAAAATGTAAAAAAAAAAACACAGCTCATGCCACTTTTAAGCATAAATGCCAAGTTGATTACTCTGTTTTGTACAAACAATTGTTCATAGCATCAACTGCTCAGACTGATTTAGGCCTAAGTAACACTGGTGATGATAATTTCACATTAAAACTCATTGGTTTGATCACTTGTCCTACCACTCACAGTACCGATTGGTTGAAAATTAAACAGAATATTTTTTGGTTATTGCAGCTTGAAAGTGAATTACATCGGCATCAACAAGACATGAAGACAATGGAGCAACAGTATAAAACACTACAGACAGCAGTGAGTATATCACAAAACTTAGTTTCAATTTTATACTTAATAACAAGATTTGAGAAATATTTTGTAACTTATAACCAACTTTAAAGAATTAAGGGAAATGGCAGGGGCAAGCAGTCCCGTAATAACATCTCTCAACCTCCTAATCACATGAGGGTACTCAACAAACAATTCCTCAAAAATTTTAATGCAATAATCATTGATGAATAAGTGTTGGGGAGTGCTTTTACCCTTTTCCCCCCACATAAAGAAAAAAATATTCACATTTTCTGTAATTTTCACTGAATTAAATTTATATTTTGGACCAAATATGACATTACTTCTCGTTTAAAATTGAAATTTTAGATGTCACATTCCCTTCCTTCGTCCACCCCTGTCACCCCAAAAAACAGGGTATGTTCCTCTTGTATCAAATGATCTCCAGTTGTGGTCATTGATATTGTTTGACAGAAACATGTTCCTTAGAGATTCTGAATATATAGATGATACTTGGAATACAAAATAGCATGAGAAGGACATAATACCAATATTGTTATTATTGATTAACAAGAGGATGTGGTTTATTCTTGTCATTTCTTTCTCTATAACAGATTAAAGAAAACAATGCTGTGTTAGCAGATGCTTGGGACAAAAACAATCCGAAAAATATATTTTGCTGTTGAAGACTTATGGAATTTCATGTCCCTGACTTTATAAATTAAATACCACTGCCTTATTTCTAGCGATTTGTAACTAGATTTCAAGATATGTCTTTTTGATATGTATTTTTGTTAATTTTTTTCTAAATAACCTAAAAAAAAAACTACCATTGCATGCACATCCACATGATGACCACTAAAGAAACAAGACTATTTTGTTTCTGATCATGAGATGTTCGCTGCATTAGTAGTTTTATCAATGTCTAGAGCAAGGCTGGGTGCTGTGACTTGTCTAGCTATTCTGTGCTACAATAGGCTAATAAATTACATACACACTGGAAGTCTAAGAGAATCAACACTACGACATTGCCACAGCCTGAACCAATCTGTCATTTTACATCACTGCAGCAGCACTTTGTCGCTAGATAGTGCTATGTACAGGAAAGGTATCTCCTGTCTCTCATTTTTTTAACATTGATCATCATTTTGCAAAGAAACAGCAATGTTACTGCTTGAATGTCAAACTGAAAGCATGTTGATTTTTTTATGTGTATAGAATTTTGATTGTAAACAAGCAGCCTGTCGGCTGAGATAGCTCCGCTATGCACATTTCAATTAAAGAACAGAAGATATCATTAGAAAATAAACAATATGTATAGTCCCTAAGCAATCAGACTTGCTGTTTACAACAAGAATTTGAAAATATAATTTTTTATCAAAAATGACGAAGATATCATCACAATATGTGAACAAGCCATGCATGGCACAGTCCCAGTCAGTTATAAAATTTAAGATATATAGTTTTGTTTATAGTAATATAGCTGGAATATAACCATGTCAGGAATATGCTTTTTTAACATTAAATTGATTGACATTTGTATCTGATCGTCAAAAAAGTACTTGTCCATATTGAGAGATATTGCCTTGGAACAGCATTCAAAATCAGCCATTTTGAATATAATCAGTCAAAGCATTTAAGAGATATGGCTCTATAAACCCAATCATTAAAACAAAATGGCCACCAGTCAGCCATTTTAAATCCAATCTGCAAAATTAAAATGACGAGCATCAGGAACCTGTAATGTCTAATGTATGTACCAAGTTAGAACGAAATCCACCAATAAATGCTTGTTATTTGATGATTTTTTAGCACAAAATGAACACCATTCGGCCATTTTGAATAGTATAGTCAAATCAATATATCTGTTTATCTATGACATGATGTATAATGAATATTTAAAATTTGAAAATATCAGTCAAAACAAGTCTGAGATATGGGTCTAGAAGCCCATTCATTAAAACAAAATGGCTGCCAGACAGCCATTTTGAATCCGATCTAAAAAATAATGTGCATCAGGAACTCTTAATGTCTAATGTATGTACCAAGTTTGAACGAAATCCATCCATAAATGCCAGATATTTGATGATTGTTTAGCACAAAAAAGGCCACCATTTGGCCATTTTGAATAGGATCGTCAAACCAATATATCTGTCTATCTATGACATGATGTATAATGAATATTTAAAATTTGAACATAATCAGTGAAAGCAAGTCAGAGGTATGGCACGAGAACCACATTCATTAATACAAAATGGCCGCAGTCGGTCATTTTGAATCTTATTTGCATCAAAGTCCCATAATGTCTAATGTATATACCAAGTTTGAACATAATCCATCTGTAAACAGCCAAGAAATGGTTGATTTTTAGGATTTTTAACACAAAAATGGCTGCTATTCGGCCATCTTGAATCAGATCGTGAAACAATTTACGTGCATATGTATAATATGATGTATGTGTGAAGTTTGATTGTGATTGGTCCAGGCATTTCTAAGATACAGGTCCGTCCGGACGCACACACGCACAAAACACTGAGGTCAAAACATAAGTCCCCATTTTCGAACTGCGTCCGAACGGGGACTAAAAATCTGAGAGGTCTACCCAAGGTGTTTTAAAAGTAAAAAGTTGAAATGGACGCTGACAGACAATCACTCGTATGATAAGCTCAGCTCGACAAAGTCGAGAGGAGAGCTAAAAAAATGTTTTCATATACATTTTCAATAAATAACTTTAATTTAAAGAATTCAATGGGGAATGGTGTTTTGACAACTTCCCCTCTAAAAAAAAAAAGGCCTTTAAGGGAGTGTAGAAGTTGAGCCACCAAATAATATGCAAAAATTTGGTCTGTGCTGATATTTATTACCTTTGTGGCAACAGAATTTGCTGAAATCTCATCGCATTGTATGTAAAGTGTGAATAAAAGTTCATATTACTAAACTTAATGACATCTATTGGGCTACTTATGGTGGTCGCATTTATTGGACTTTTTGTGTTTAAAGCCTTTGACATGATAAAAATACAACGCAGCTACGGTAATTGCAAGATGTCCACCTTTTCAATAGCCTAGAAGCTTCATAGTTCAGTTTACAGCACCACTCTCGTAGTCGTGGATGATTATTGAACAGTTCCACAAAATTCTAACCCAACTTAAACTTTGAAAATGCATGCATCTGAAATATCAGCTTATTTTGGCATAGTATCTTTTATTCAGTGTTACAGCCATGGGCAATAGATTTACATGTAAACGTAAAAAAAACTTGTCTCATTCTGATAAACTGTAGATGTTGATCTATTTTGTATTATAGTTTCTTATTGCCTGTTTAGGTTGTGATTTCTTGTACTTTCCAGCTGCTAGATTTGATAATTGTTTCTTTTCATGCTTCTGTCTTTCCTCCATTGCTGGTCGAACACCTGCAACATCCAAATTATGACTTGGGTTTCCGTCTGGGATAGTGGGCCTTGGCTCAAAATCACCTGTACATAAAATACAATATAGAAAATAAGTTTCGGACAAATGTACATGTGCGCCCCTGTTAAACAACTTGCAGGCAACGTTGTTATAATAGATCATAAGCTTATACTTGTTATCGAACATTCACATGCTGGTAGAGAAAAATTACGTTGCAGTATGATTGCCTATAAAAAAAAAGTAATGGCAATTGAAACAATTGACGAGAATGCTCTTGGGGTTGATTAGGTAGCATTGGATACAGACATGGCTATCATTTGAACAGCACAGCATTATCAAAGCAACTAAAGCCATTTGTTATTGACCTGAAACTTTACAGACACCATCTATATGCAATTCTCTAAAACGTCAAAGATTTTGCTATGTGACGACATCTTCAATTTAGTAAAACCAAGTGCTTGATTGCACCACTTTCTGAGGATCTCCAATTTTTTTTTTATGTAGCACCTGTGCTCACCAATATTCATATTTTTTCCCCTTATATAGTCAAAAAATTACTGTCCAAATGACATAAAACTTAGCATACATGTCGAGTAACTGTCCTGATTGGTCGAGGAGTTTGGCAACAAAAGATTTGTTTGCTTAAAATTTTGAAATCTTAATGAGCTCTATATAGGACATCTACATGCAAAATTGCATGGCAATTGAATTCTTAATAAGAAAGCTGGGAAAGAACTCTTGTGTGCTGAGAGTATTGGAGTCATTGAAAACGACACAGTCCCGTTAAA